GCACCACACAACGTCTCCAACACCTCCTGCTACAGTCCCATTTCCCAAGCCTCCGTCCTCCACAACCATCAGCTGTTTCGCGCGATACAGCCCACGTCGTGGTCACGTAAGGTTGGCATTGCTGGCCTTCCCATATTCGACGTGTATCCATGGTTGCTCGCATACCGTGGCGCGGGGGGGCTTCGCGGCTCGAACATTGAGCGACTCATCCCGACCCGCAGTATTGCCAAATCAGTTTTCATCACACGCCTCCTTCAAGACCTGCGAGACAAGCGGCTTGACCTCGACGCTACAGCCGAGGCCCTCCACCGTGCCAAGGGGACTGACATTCCCAACAAGACCACTCAAGCCCGCGCCTACCTCGCTCCCCTCATTGACCTGCTCACAACTCACTTGGCTGCCCATGCTCCGGCCGCGGCCGAAGGCTCGGCCATCCGCGAACTCAAAGCTAAGAGCGCTTGAAAGAGCCCAAGCAAAACTCCAGACACATGTGCTGACACTCACACCCCGCAAGGACGCCAAGATCCGCTATACCTCCACCCTCCCCGAAGCAGTCACCCACAAACCTCCTGTTTTGGCCGACATTCTTCAGCCACCGCGCCCTCACTCAAGGACGTCTTTTCTGAGGATGGTCCTACCAGGCCATTGCAGCCTGGCTGTCCACTTTTGATGAGGCCATCCAGGAATCTGCCAAAGACATTGTCCGTCTCCTCCAAACGAACAAGCGCACGCAGGAGCAACTTACTTCGTGAAGCAGGCGCCCGATATGGGCTCCGTTTGAACAAGTTGAACAAGTGCCCCCTCAAGACACTGCGAAATGGTCATGACAGGAGCAGCGCTGGCCTGCTGACTGAGCCACATCGCTCAGCAATCTCCTCACACCACAAATATGCAACACCTTTTTCGGCTCCACCAAGCCCTCTCCACCCCCATCCACAATGCCACATGCATCGAGAGAGCAGACGTCATTTTTTCATATTTTTGCCACTGGCCTGCTCCACCTCACACTACTTTTCGCTTACCCTTCCAACACTCAACGCTCTCAGCAATGGCGAACGCGCTTTCGCCAGCTCCAAGTGACGCCGCGCACCTACTACTACCACCACTTCCTCTCCCCCAACTCAGTTTACATCAAACTCCGATTCAACATCCAACCCCCACACAGACGCTACCATCAACATGGTCACTTCTATATTGGCTCCACCGCCATCGGCGTTCCACACAGAGAGCGCAATCGACGAGCCAAGCTCAAGCAACTCCCAAAAAAAACATTCCCATTTCAGCTGAACTCTCCCTTCGCTACTGGCTCAACCGCAACACTATCGACCAGTACACCACCATTCAACTTTCCTCACATGACGCCTATGACCAAGCCTGGATCCATGACCACATCTCCAACTGGATGCCTTCCTCCACTGCCCTTTCATTTCCCACCACCTCAAGCTGAAAGCCTAGGCCTGGCAATTTACCAAGCATAGAGCACACTTCTTCTCCCGCCTTGCCACCCACAAGCGACTCTTTCCAAGACTTCGACCGCGCCAGAAAACAATCAGCGAACCACACCTCTTCACCTCCACAAAACACCACGCCCTCACCCTCTTGCGAAACTTAACCAAACACACAGCAGACTCTTTTGAAGCAACCAAACAACTCCGCAGCGGCCGTCACAGTGACCTGGAACTATATGCTATTCAAGCTATTCGCCGCATGGCCGCAAACCTGGAAGAACCAGGTCGCACCAAAGCACTTCAGATCACCCACACACCCATGCAGTATCGCATCCTCACTCCTCCTCGTACAAACCTCCCCCCTCACCATCCCCTTCTTGGCCCATGACAATTTTATCACAGAAACTCAGCAATGGCTACGAACCACCATCCAGACACAGAACCCACGCTATCTTCCTACACATCGACTCCGAGAAGCTGCTCATAAGACACTCCGCAGCCAGCTCCACAACCATTAAGATGGGAAGACAGTTTATACTCACCCCCGTGGATCCAATGGACCTTCCCTGCGCCTGTGGTCATCTCAAAACACTTCTCATCAATCCACACCAACCCACCACAGACGGACACCACATCCTCAGTCTGGACCACCTCCAGCTTCCATCCCACCTCCGCATTTTCCTCAACGCCAATATGAACAGCGCCTTCTACCCGACCAAGGCCAGGTACTACGTGGCTTTCCAAAACGCCTTTCGAAAATGGAAGGTTTTCCGCCTTCCCTTGTCCAGCGCACAGAACCTTTCTCGCCAATGGCAATTCCACATCTCGGCGGCAAAGTCCTGCGCCCCACGAGCTACAACGGCTCCGCGTATTCGCGCGCCTGAACTTTTCCAACCGCTACCCCACCTCACTCCACTCAACATCAATGGCCGTCTGTTGGCCACCGTTCCTAGTGGCCTCCGCGCCCGTTACAAATGGTGATTCCAGAAGGAGTTCACCGCCCCCCTATGACATTGTACACCTCAAGGAGAAGAAGCAATGGCAGAAGGGCAGAACCATCATTTCCTACTACCAGTCTCTAGCAGAGCACTGGACATCAGTCTACAACATCTTTACCCACAGCACCCCGGCCAGCTATCCATACCCCAGCCATGGCATCACTTCCGAGCACTTCCTCTCACACCCAGCAATCCAAACACTCATCCACCACGACTTTGGAGAATCACTAATAGAACTCTGGGTTCAACGCTGGCAGCAAACGGCTCACACTCTCTGGACTTGCCTCACGACTACACACCATCTACAAGTACACATACCCAGCTACAGCGGCAGATGCAGCGGTTGACCACCTTGTTAATCTCTATGTCCAGAAAGGTTTTTGCAGCGCCCAAAAGCCCGCTGCCCCGCATCGGAGCGCCGCCAAGCGGCTACATGTGTGTGTCACCCTCCGCCGCCAGAAGTTCTGTCAGTTACACCGTTACACCAAAATTACGCAGGGGGATCAGGCTTCCAGTGACTAACCTGATCCAACGAAGCTGGGTCACTGGAAGGGAAGTGGTTGAGGACGCTCAACCATGTACCTGCATGGTGATACTACTCCACTCTTCGCCGCTGTCTTTTGCTTTCATGGTTGTTCTGCACGATACCTCCCCAAACCGATTTTTTACCGCATTTACAGCTGAGCCACCGCAGCCTTGCGCAGTCACGACTGAACTCTTTTGTTGAAACATCTATAAAAGTCACCGGACCCAGCTGCCTTTCGGTTCCATCGTTCCTTTCGACGTACATTCTGATTCACTGAAAACCCAATGTCTAAGTGTGTGTCGTGTGATGTTGTGTGATGTCGTGTCTTTCTTTTGATCAAGAGGATTCAGACATGGTCACACAGTTTTGTTTCCTTGCTTGCCATCAAACAAGAATATAGAACGGCTGCAGGCCAGCAATCGTAGACAACGAGAGAAGTCGGATAATTTTTTGTGGCTCAGAGCCAAGGGAACACTGTTCGAGATGCTGGTCTGTGTGGCCCTTGACGACAAGGACGAGACCGTCCGTTTGGCTGCAGCTGATGCGCTTCGCTGCTTGCCCGAGGCAGACCCAGACACCTGTGATGAGACGCGCACTGCTCAGTGTAGTGCTAATGCTTGTAACAACATGTTTGAAAACAGTATATACATGTATATACTATATATTACTATATATGTTTAATTATTGATGTGTATCTGTGTATCCAATCAGAACCTGGCAAGATGCTTATGACTGAGGCGACAACGGTTTCCGAAGCTGGTTGAGCGTGTGCGCAAGCTTTTCGTTCGCAAAAGAACAGGCGCCTGTTGCAGTCTTTCTGCTTGGATGCATCATGATGCATCCCAACGTTTTCGAGGTTGGAGAACCCTCCTGTCAGCATCAGCTGAGGCTGTACTCCGGGTATGCCAAAGGGGAAACAGAAGAGATCCTCTTGAATGCGCTGGGCATCACCACTGGCGAGGTTTGTAAGCTTTGAACAGTTCTTAACAGTCTTAACATGTTCTTTTTCAACGCACAAGAGACTCTACTGATTCATCTGACTTGTGTTTTCCTGCGATGTGATTTCAGCTTGGAGCTTTTGGCAACAGCAACAGCGACAGGCGTGCGTGATTTGTCAAGATCCTTTGCATTTGGATGGGGGGCCCACTGGAATTGCGATGTGGCCACATCTTTCACAAGAAGTGCTGCGAGATTCGGGCGGCAAGACTTTCTATATACCAAAGAAAGACACGACAACTTCAGGGAAGGTAACAAGTACTTGTAGTTTCTGCGAAGATGTTGGATGAGGATTGCCTCCACACGCGTGATTCTTTTAGTTGCTACCAATGGGACTGTTCAGTTCCTTTTGGCACTACGAACTCATTCCACCGACCGAGGAATCCTGGATAGAGTGGGTCAAACGATGCAATCGGACTCCCAGCTGCCCACTTTGCCGAGCACATATATTTGATGCGTGGGGGAAGATAAACAAGTAATCATTTTCGATCTGACTTATGACTCACCACCCGGGTGATGATTACATGTAGCAGCTGCGTCGCTGTAGGTTTACCTTGCAAATGAAGCTAAGCTCTTCAAAAGATGTTTAGGATGCTTGGATAACTTCGATTTAGGAGTAAAGTTTTGAGCTGCCGGGAACTGCCAAGCAGTCGGCTTTGATGATTCAATTTAAGTGCATTGTCCATGCCATGGTCCCTTGGGCTGGTGTCCGGAGACTAGAGGCCATGTTGCAACTGCGTTGATACTGCACGCTCGCTCAAACTTGTACAGTTCCAGAGCTTGAGCTTACGCCTTGAAAGGTGAGGGGAGAGTGAGAGAGAAAGTGAGAGAGAGGAAGGGAAGGAACGTAACAGAGAGAGAGGGAGAGTAGAACACGAAAAACGCAGGCTGTTTTCTGAAAGTCGCGGGTAAAGTAGGTTTCAATATTGACGTCAGGTTTTGGTTGAATTATTCCACCTTAAAATATGGCATCTATGCAAGTTGATGGCATCAAGTGATGATTTGTTCCATTGCATGTGTTCTACACTAAAGGCAGATGTTGGAGAAACTCACCAAGCAAATGCAACTTTGCCTCGCGCGTTTGCAGAAACTTGGGTGCAAGAAGCGCGAGCTATCCTGCGTCCTGTCGGTAGTAGCGTCTTAGTAGCTACTAGCGACTCCCGTTTGCTTCTACTAGTAGCGTTTCTCTATCTCCCTCTACGGCTCTACCGCCAACCCCCCCCGGCTTAATCTTCGGGCGCCTCTCAACTACCGAAATGCCCAGCTAGAGCGCGTGGGGAAGCCAAGGAACGCAGACTTGGATGACAAAGCGAAGGACGGAATGCTTCGCCTCAATCGTACTCCTTGAGTGGAATAGGATGGAATAGGATGGAAATAGGTAGTGCTCAAATGTGCTCAATGCTAGTTACTACTCCCTGTGAACTGTCCACATGTGATCGTCGATGATTGTCGGAATCAACAGCCCATTGACGACGGTTGCATGATGGATCAACTGCACGCTAGGAGAGATACCAGGACATGATTACCACGTTGAAGGCACAGATGTCGAAGATAGGACATGTTTAGGGGAGTGAAGTGTCATAAGAACACAAGCGCAATCTTTAGGTGGCTTGCAGAATGCTTCGATGTGTAGAATCACTGATGCTGGACAAGTTGGTATGGTACGTGTCATGCATGCCATCCCTTGAATCCATAGTTTTAAAAGCCAAATGAACAAATTAAGGAAGCTGTTCAATGGAGCAGTGGCCCCTTCGAGACTCAAACCTGGCGCAGCGAAGTCTCCTATTGCAAAGGATTGCACTACTGAAGGATATTCTTGGCATGGTGTTTCCATGCCAGTGTTTGAGACGAAGTGCTTTGTACAAAAAGTTCTTACTTTTCAAAACATGGGCCGGCCGCGGGCAACTGTTTGCTTAGACCTGCTGCTGGCAGAGAGACTGAGTCCCATCCAGATTTGTGCTATTGTATGCTATTGTTAGTTCATGGAAGCTTGTCGATTCTGCTGGATTGCTCTCAGAATCCTCTACATTGCTTTGAGGGTCAAGTTTGTGGATGAAGATAGGAGTGCAATGAACAAGAGGAATCACAGAATCATCAAAGTTGAAGTAAAGGGTGCAGCTCATGCAACAGACCTCTCCTTCAGAATACGTTCTTCCTATTGAATTCTCAGGTGTTTCAGCTTCAAAAGTGGGAATCAATTGTGGAAGCTACTGGACCTAGCGAAGTAGGCTATGTCCATTCCAAGTACGGATGATATCAATGTCTCCAATGGCATCTTGATCACACCATGGCGATCTTGACAGCGTCGGCGCGGAGGAGATCCGTGTCACAGGCCACGATTTCCTCACCGAAAGCACAAGCACATGTGTAATGTGCATGAGAATGCATGAGATCAAAAGATAGAATTTAAAAGATACATGATGTTTTCATGTGCTTTCGTGGTGGGTGATTGATGTTGCTTGCGGATATGTGTTGATTTTTCCTTGCTTGAGTATTGGGATTCCAGCCGATGAACACCCAGATCACGCGCAAGGCATCTGGCCGTGATCCTGCGCTCCCATCCGTGGATCGACCTCGAAGCTGCTCCGCCCATCGAGTGTCACGGCTTGGTTGGAGTGGCGTTGGGACGTTTGGTCCAAAGAGATGTGAGCCATGTGAGCAGATTAAAGTGGGTCTTTGGTGTTTTCGGACCTTTACATGGCAGAAGTTGTCCAGGGATCAGACCAGGGACACTGAATCTGAACCACACTTAGTCCAGAAGATTCTGGGAAACATACGAAAACATACAAAAACTATATACCAGTAGATACCAGTAATATCCAGTAATTCCCAATACATCCTTCTCGTGGCAGGTGCCAACGCCGCGTGGCCACAGTTTACAAAAAACGTGAGGGGCCAAGTTGCTGGAGGCAGCCGCAGGCAAGTAGGTGGAGGCCCTCGCTATTAGAAACAAAGAAAAATAAATAGGATGTTTTTGTAATGGGGGGCCAAGTTGCTGGAGGCAAGATGAACACTTGATGTTGCTTGATCTCTTTTGGAGTTGAATGGCTGAGAAGCGATTCTACTTTCAATGTGTTCAGTTCTCTTGTTCCAGTGAGGCTGGGCACACGTGGTGTGTCGACTGACCTCCGGCAAAGAGAGCCACACCCAGCTGAAGGGCTGACCGCTGCGTTTTGGCCGCGTTCGAGGAAGACGCGTTGACTCGACAAATGACTCTTCTTTGGTCCCGCTCAGACACTCCAAAGACTCACATCACTCACTTGCAGTGTTTGTTCTATCATGATTATGATGTTGTGTAGTGTTTCACATTTAATGATTCGCTAATATATATATATATATATATTAAATATATGTATATGTATGTGTATTGTGTAGTTGAGCATTGTATGATCCTTGAGCACTGGCCATATGAGATCATATGAGAGACCTGCAGTCCAGCAGACTTGACTTGAAAAGCCTTGGAAAGCTTCCTCATGTTTCTTTTCGCACATCAACCCAGCTCAGGTCCTTTTCCTCGATGTTGATGGTGTACTGCATCCTGTGCAGGTGTGATAAGATTCCATGTGATTGATATGCCTGTGTCGTTTACAGGGGCTACGGTATTGCTGGTTATTGCATGTCAGGCACGACACCCGCGCCAACAGTTTTCGACAAACTGCCTGGTTTGCTGCTTAGCATATTTGTCTGCATGGATGTGCAGTAAACATGCACACCCTTTGCGCAACAGATGGACCCAAGGCAATAGTTGGCAATCAGCAATTGGCAATAGTTGGCAGCCTTTGCACAACTATGCATGCCTTGAGTATTGGGCAACTGGTAAGTTGTATGATATGCTGGTTTGTGGGATATTTTTGAATATGTGTGGCATATGTTGAGACATGTTGAGACTCACTGATATGATATACGACAACAATGGACATGTGCTGCACTGAATTTAAGAACTTGTTCCTTGTTGTTGTGACGCCTGAGTCCAAGGCGCTTGTGGCCGAGGTGGTGAAGGCAGAGTGGAACAATCAACGACCATAGAACGATGGACGATACATTTTCTCAACGATTCTGAGGCCACTGGTGCTTCAATTTGTTTATCAACAGCCTGGAGATTGGTCTTGGACTTGTTGTTACCGACATTACTGACGACTGTCAGACCTGACCGGCAACACCGCAAATGCCCAAAGAAGGAAGACCTTCGTTAGGCTAAGGTCCAAGAGTTTTGGATTTGTAAGTGTACATAAGTGTACCCTACTACATCCCCTTGGCTATCTTGTATAGATCTTACTAGGATTTGACCACCGGGACTCACCGAGTTTTGCCTTGGCTGACCCGAGGATCCTTCGATTTGTCGAGGAAAAGCTGCGAGAAGTTGGGTCATGTGCTTAATCCCAACGGAAGGAGCGTCAAAGACATACTAAAAAACTTCTAGTTACTAGTAGCGATGGCCTCCACCTAGTAACTTCTAGTTTCTAGAAAGCTTCTAGGTAGACTATGTCACCTGGAAAGTTCTGTGAATGTTTGAGTCTTGTTGTTTCGTTGTGGTTTGCTGCCTCACGTTACGCATTAGATCAGTCATGGTACGTACAGAAGTATCAAGATGAAGAGTTCTGGGCTGATCTTGAGTTTCCGGGGCATACTAGTAACAAGAAGCTACTAGTAACAAAGGGCATCGCTACTAGGAGCAAGAACGCTACTAGTAGCTCCTGGCCATACTACTAGTAGCAAGAAGCTACCAGTAGCAAGGGCATCGCTACTAGTAACTGGAGAGCAACCGTTTCCTTCGGCTGAGGTTGGGTCCTCCAGTGGGACGTACGCCAAACCTCGCTCAGTTCCACCGCAGTCGGGAGATCCTCGCATGGGTTCAAAGCTCAGGGAAGTCCTTCTACTCTTTGCAGGAGCTCCTGTTGGTGAAGCAACCAGAATCAAACACACCCGTCTCTTCAAATCTGCCAGTTTACAGCGGAGGATGACTTTTTGACACTTGACCAAGGTCACGAGGTTCAAACCATCTACTTGGGTGGCATTGGACGATTGGCCCCTGAACGAGGCCGTGTGATTTTTGTTTTCCACCGTTTTGCCTGCTTGGAAGTGGCTTGCACAGGAGGATTCGAAGATGCACGGTCACTTTGTGCAGTCTCGACCACGTTTTGGATTGCAGCCAGGGCCTTATATATAGTAATATAATATAGAGCCCTTGTGGAGAAGCGAAGTAAATACTGCCTCACATTCAGAAGGTTGTCCCAAATTTGATCTCACCTTGGAGATGTTCAGCGGTTTGAGGCCAGATACGGCGCAGCGTGTTGTGGAACTGTTCAAAGCACAACAGCCCAAAGCCTTAGTGGAAGTTGGACGACCCTGTTGCTGCTACTGCTGAAGCTGTTGTTGATGCTTGTCCTGCCCTCCTGCCAAGCGTTTTCAGAATAGTGTCCACAGTCGGAAGTGCTTGAACTAGTTGCTTTTATATGCTTTTATATGTACTGACTTCCTGAGGTGCGGTGCAATTAGGTCTCCACCTATATAGGTTCTTTCAACAATGTTCGATCAGATCTAGGACGTCCAAAAGGCTGGGGAATCCGCTTACCGTAGTTGCTTTTCACGTCCCAGCTCAGCAGCAGGGTCTGGGTTTGTTTGTAAATACGGGTTACTCCTGAAGAAACCTCAAGATATCTTATCCTTGGAGCTGGTTGACATGGCAACGTTTGTTGATGCTTGCCGTATCAGATGGTTTGAGAACTGTTGGGTTTGGCACAAACAGCCAAACGTTTTGGACTTTTTTGGAAGATCTTTACCAACAGCCTCTTGACGTGCGCACCATTGGCACTCCAGACCCCTATCCCGACCCTGCGTGTGCTGATCCAGTTTTGTGCGCAGATGATACCCTACTATCAGGAACTGCTTGCTGCTGTGTCTCAACTCGTTTTTGCCGAGGCAGCGCCTGAAGAACCGCTCATAATGTGCATCAGGCACCACTTGGACTTTGTGACTTTGTGGAAGTAATTCTGAAATTACGGGCCCTTGCCCCTATTCGTCCCCAAAGGATTGTAGGTTTGCCGGCTTCCGTGTTTCAATTCTCAGAGCTATATAATATAATCAAAACGACTTTCACAGGAGAAGAATTGATGAAACTCGAGCGAGCTTGAAGAGTACTGGACTGATGCCAGGCAGCATACAAGCTTGCCGAGAAGGTCGCTGGTAGCTGTTTCACGCGCTGATGGTTTTGGCGGTTCACGTCGCCAGCGTCACACTTTCTTTCAACTTTATGGGGAACTCTTTCCGCTACTAGGCGCAAAGGGCATTGCTACTAGGAGCAAGGACGCTACTAGGGGCTCCTGGCATCGCTACTAGGAGCAAGAAGCTACTAGGGGCTCCTGGCCGTAATACTAGGAGCAAGGACGCTACTAGTAGCAAGGACGCTACTAGGGGGAGGCCATCGCAATTAGGTTGGAGGCCATCGCTAGTAGCTTCTTGTTACTACAGGTGAAACGATTCTCGGAAGCTTCTAGCCTAGCAACTTAGCTACTAGTAGCTTCTTGCTACACAATGTGTTCGGCTGGAGGTGTGTGATTTGTTTTTTG